TTCGTTCCAGGTTTTGTATTTCGTTGGAAAAAAACAGTATGAAAACTAGATCGAAAACGCAGGGTCCACTAAAGAATAATCTTTTTTTATGGAATGTGCAAAGTGTTTATAGACAAATTATACACAGTCTAAAACTAGATCAATTGACGTATCGATGCGGAAAAAGGTTTTTCATAGGAGCCTTTCAGTCCGGAAAAAATAATTTTTCTTTCTACGCTTCGAGTTTTTTAAAAAGACCTGTTCAGTATAATGAGTTTCCGAAATTTTACGAAGCTCGAAATTAGCTTTAAATATCACAAAATGTTCTCATGCTTGTGATGCATGTGCATGGGTAGCACACACCAACACAAATGCTTTGGGACCGAGTTACAGGTTTTCCAGAAGCTTGGCTTTCAGGTAAAATCCCTTTTTCTCACCCCAGAAGCACTTTCATTAAACACAAATGTTATATGTATATTTAGAACGAGCGCATCGAACTGCATGTAATGATATATCAGTTGTATCTTTTTATGCGCAAAAAGTTGTTTGATTTAATAAAATGACAGATGTACAGCATCCCCGTAGCAATTTTGGCTAAGCACCAGGATTTTTGATTTAGAAGCAGTTTGAAAGCCTGCGAAAACTATTTTCATAAGACAAGTCCTTGAAAGTTTTCACAAAAAATGATAGACTATTTACTAGATAAGTCAATAAAACTTACCTAACATATACTTGATACATTTCAAACTTCCTTTTTCTACAGCGATTACAAATGCCGTTTTTCCACTTTGATTTTTTTCGACTAGTCGTTGCAATGCCTTAATGGAAAGTTTCAGATGTCACAAAGATCTCTCAGGCTTGATGAATCATTACCGTTAGTCTTGCGGTACTGGATGATAAACGTTTTAGTAGCGCTATAGCTCTTGACAAGACAATATCATTGCATTGTTCAGCTGCATAATGGAATACCGATGAATCACTGTCATCTTTAACAGTTAATGAAATTGGATCTTGTTCCATGAGTAAAGTTGCTGTCGACGTACTACCAGCTTCTATTGCACATAGCAATGGTGTTTGTCCTCTATTGTTAATTAATGAGCTAGCATGTGACGTTTCACACATCAACATTCGAACAATCTCTTCGTGATCCAATTTTGCTGCCAAATGTAACATGGTTTGTCCACATTCCGTCGCGAAATTATTGTCACGTTTAGACATTGTGTATTCAACATTTCCATTAGCTGTTCCTGATGTTGCTGTTGTAACTACACCATCTGCTAGGGGTGCAGCTACAACAATAGCAGCTGTTGTCGATGCTCGACGTAAAGCTTCATTTTGATTATTCGGCCATCTACGAATGAGCGATCGTCTGTGACGTCCGAATCGTTTATCGTTCTCAAATAAACCATCATCCCAATCGAATAGATTCTCAACAATGGCTGGCGGACTGATACGAACAGATGGTATAACACTAATACCCAGTTTTGATGCATGACGGTCGGATATAGCTGGCGTAGTCGGTGTCGAGTTCGATGTTACACCATCGGTAGATTGATTTTTAATTACTGGTACATTCGAACGCTTTTTTGGTGAGATGATAAAGATTTTTGGATGCATAAGCATCTAAATTCAACAAGAGAGAGAGATAAAGTTATAAAAGAAGAGCATCATGAAGATGTTGATAAGTAATTAGAAGCTTGTGGATACCGTTGAGTTCACATTTATTTGAGACTTAAAATGTAGATAAACATGTTAAACAACCATTCAGAGGAAATATATTAGTAAAGTATCGCACCACTTTCTCAATTTCGATTAAGAAAAGTGCTCTGTTATATGTTATCTTTTTCCGTTAATTAAACGTAATATTTGGCATTTAATGAAACGGCTTATCTAGCTGTGCTATTTTTCATTTTATCATTAATAAATTTTAGAGGAAAAAATTCATTTATATGAATAGAACTCCAGCAATTGTTTCTCTAATTTCTGAAGATAAGATTCTTACCTAGATCAGTACATAGAAGATTTTGCGAAAGAGATTCGCAGAGTTTTCGCAGTATCATAATAAAATTATTCTCATAAAACAATTGGTAGATTAATATACGTAGTAGTTAGTATAATCGCATGTTCCTGTGTCATATTTTATTCCCGTGTTGTTTTATTTTTCGTCGTCATTTTTGATACTGCTGTTTTTGACAGTTTGATATCTTACAACAGATCTACTATCGTTTCAGAGAACGCTTATAAATAGAGAAAAACAATTGAATCATGCAACTATATCGTTAATAAAAACTCTACAACGTTTGTATTTTTTTCACTTATCTAATGAATAAGAAGGACAATCTGTCACAACAGTAGATATCAAAGAGCTCGTTCTATTTCAAAAACAACAACTCTTGACATGAATTAAAGCCATTGGCACATTGTTGGAGTAACTATTTTCTACCTAATAGTTCTATAGATCTAATTTGTCGTAATTTGAAAAGTAAGAAGTCAAGTAAGTGGTGAGATGTCACACAATTTTTCTATCTTTCATTCATACTAGTTATATATCATTAAAAAAGAAAGACAAGAATCTTGTATGTATATGAAGAGGAAGCTTTGTTAGAACTACCGTCCGGATATGACAAATGATCCGATTAAATTACATGACATGTGTACCAATCAGATCCAATTGGCTGTCTTTCTAGAATAATAAATATTTAGATTAAATAACTACTAGTGTACATTGTTATTCGTAAAGATATTATAAGTAATTGTTTACACAAGATGCAAACCAAGTCTCTAATACATAAAGACTTGTTTATAAATGAGGCAATGTCAAACAGGTATATTCAACATCTCATAAACAAGAGGTTAACATCTTCGGATCTATCTAGACTTATATTTCTAACATCATAATTTGAACTTTTTTTTTGGTGAAATGAAAATGAGGACAGTTTATCATAGTAATCAGCAATCAACTATCAACTGTGGAAAGCACCTAAGTAGCAGAAACACTAGAAAATGTGATCAATTAATAATGTGTTGATAAACTTTTCGTTTACTGACAAAAGCTAAATGGTGAAGCCTTTTTTATGCTATATTCTTAACGATTGATAATATTTCCAAAATGAAAACTTATCACTTAGCTACCATTTTTCCTTTTTCCTTGGATTTTAATACACGAATTTTTTATCGTTATTATGAGACCTTACACGAATCTATCGTAAATACGTTGTAAGTTATATTTACAAACAAAATTCAGTGACATTTTGATTGTTGCATATGAAGAGGTACTTTGAATATATTATGAGCAATTACAAACGAATAACTTGTAATATTTTTATCTTATTCTACAACTTTTCTTATTCAGATATGAAATCATGAAATCCAGATACAAAACCTCATCTTGTACTCACCATTCTTGTTACGGGTTGACGTTTTTTGTTCATAATTAACTCTTGGCAAATTTATTCATTATTCCGTAGTCATTTGTTGAATTCCGTATACCTCTTCCTTTCATCCTGCTTTTCTCTCTCTCTCTCTCTCTCTCTCTCTCTCTCTCTCTTTCTCTCTCTCTTTTTTCAAACGTTAATGTATTCAAGCAATTTTTATGCCACTAAACTGGCCATGTGCCTGTCTATTTTGACCTGTGGAACTGTATGACGGATCTGTATTGGTTTTTTCTCTTTGGCATAACATTTAGTTATTATTTTCTCTGCATTCACTCATTTACCATCAGAGAATATAAGGAAGCTTGTAGAGAAATAAAAAAGAATTTTATGCAAGAAAGAAACAAAAATAATAATAAATACAATAAGAACACGATTTGTATATAACTGTTGAGAAATAACGTGAAAGTGAAGCGGAGAAAATTTCGTGGAACAATGCTGTTCAACTGATGAAGTCATTAAAAAAATTGTTTCAGTACATTTGTATAGTGATAGGCTTTTTTTCTTTCACTAGCTAAATGCATGATTTTCTTAATCATTGTAAAGAATAAGGTATTTCAAGAAAAAAATCTAATTTTTTATTATTTATTTTTATCATCATTTCTATATAGTTTAATAGATAATTTTTCCATCTATGACCGTAATTATTTCGAATTAACAGAAAGAGAAGAAAGATGATGATATGCGTTATTCTAAAATGTGTTAATTGGTGATATCAAGACGCATCAACTTATTAGAGAATAAAACTCAGCTACGACAATTATATTATTATGTGTATAACAGAGACATACCATCTTTCACCTACTCAATTGAACTATTAACGAATTTTTAAATAATAGATTTTATGAACTGTATTTAAGCGTTTCTGTTTCTTTACAAGTGATTTATTCGATTAATCAAGCTAACATTAGAAGAAGTGCTTTATAACATTGGAAAACTTCAATTAACGCAATATTTACTTCTTTTCTAATTTGATTTTTGTAACAAAACCTGCTCTTATCAATCAGAAAGCGACTAATTATACAGGATTACTCAAAGAATAAGATTTCTAAACTTTGAGATGAATATAAAAGACTTGTGAAAAAAAATTATTTATTATTATTTATCATCTATTTACTATACATAATGAAATGTGAGTAAAATCTAGAATTTTTACTCTTTATCTGTGTAGTGTGTGTTTGACTACTAATGCTGATTCGAAGTGGAACATTTGTTTCTTTGATACTCTTTGAGCAATGGAGGAAAAGAAGCATATATATATATAACGTGAATAGTAATATAAAACATACGAGAATATCTAATGATCAAATAAAACAGACTTTCGTTTCAATTAGAAATATCAGAACCATATTTATGATGACAATGAACTTCATGTTCGCTCTTTTCAACTGTCACATCGAACAATATAATATAACAATATAACCAGAGACAACTGAAAATTAATTTAAATATTTGTCAAACTTTTACAAGTATAAACATGAAAAGTTTTCAAAATCTCTATAGCTAATAATGACATGCAACATGTACTATGTACTTACAAAGAAACGTTATAAATTAGTAGTTGTAGTAAACACTGATTTCAACATCGACATTTTGTTGTAACGAATAGTATGTACATAAACATACATACACAGTATGATAAAGTAAGGTGAAGGCACAACAAATTAGTTTCTAAGATTAGCATAGAGATATTATATTTCTCTTTCTTTTCTCTTGATTTTGTGTTGTTGGACGATGACATTCTGCTTTGTTTGTTTTCTCTATTTTGATATGATATGATGACAAAATGTAGAGTATTTTGTCGAATATATATTAACTTCATTAAACTCGAACGCCCAAATTCGTGAAACATTTTCAACCAATTTTGAAATAAAAAAGTTACACCGAAAACTAACAAAGACTTCTTTGCAATCGCTCGCTTTCACACTCTCTAAAGATATCTCATGAGGTCTATTCCTTACTGGACTATTTATAACCAAGCGAGTAACTGATTGTAATCTATAAACTTACGTTCAAGGTCATTATCTGTCGAAAAAGGAAAAAAGTCGCAATAATTTGAAAAATGGAAATTTCATGAATAGTGAATAAATTAAGAGAGTTAAAAAGTGCTCTAGCTTCATATCTGACGACGAAGATTATTTACCGTGGCGTATTGTTATAAAATATTTTCTCGTAGAAACAATGGTATCTCTCAGTGGTGAGAACAAAAAATGCTTTTTTGTCAAAACCTCTCAATGATGAGGTTTTTGTCTCTTTCCATTATTGCATCTTTTGTTGTACTTTTGGTCTTGGCTGGGTGTAACAGTGAATATACTGTTCATTTGTCCCATATAAGGAACTGGTTTCAGATTTCTGAAGAACACAAAACGTAACGTTGAGCTGTTAAATACTTATACTAAGTTCTTCGGTTCTTCAGAGAACTTATGAAGAAGTGAAAATCTGTTCTCTAGATGAGAGAATTGTTAAACTCACTTTACTTTATTTTTCGAGTTCTCTGAATGTTTGAAGAACATGGTTTTTAGCTTGTGCAAGAAGTATCGATTTAATTAGAAATTTTCAATCAAATTTTCAACTTTCTAAGGCCTGAGAGCGAACACAGTTTGTTCTTTGTACATATTCCAACATAAGCAGAACTAAAAATATTTCAAAAAAAATCACAACTTATCACTATTACTACTAAATAAAAATCTGAAATACATTACGAAATGTATAATTAGCTTCTGAACTGCAATAAAAATAACACTGATAAGAATAAGAAAAATAATATAATATTACTCTTACCTTACGCTTTTTTTTCCCCAAGCTTGTTCGACTGCTGACGGAATCCGTAGCGGCTCTCGATCTTTCACTGTTTTGCCGATCTCCCGTCCACTTCGATAGAGCAACATTTGCACGTGATATTGCATTGCGAAACATTTTCTTAGGTTTTAACGTTGATCTTGTATGTATATGAGAGAGCAATATCACTTAAGTGAGAGATTCTTATATTATTGTATTATAAAAAAGATATTTACAGTTGCTAATGGAATGTTTTGATGACTTAATTCTTAATTCTTTCTTAATTAGTTACCGTTAACGAAAAAAAAGGAAGTCACATGATGAAGTGTGTGTTGATATTTTTTATTTATCGGATCGTCTCTAAAAATAAGTAAATAGCTATAAAGAACTCCAGTTTCATGAAAGATATCTTCTCTAATTTATTGTTATTGAAATTGAAAATATCGGAAGATACCATGTTGCAACTTATGGCTGCTTATCATCGTCCGTCTCTTAGTAAGAGGCGATTTTTCAGGTCGATTATCTTTCGTACTAATTAATAAATACAATTTTAGACAGAATAATAAAATGATCACTGCAAAGTTAAATTTGTAGATAGAAGCAGAAAGCGTATTAATCTTCGAATCTATTTTGCCAGCATTTATATACATCGCTTAACGATCTTTCGAGAAACGTTTCATGTCCAAATGGATCTCTCACTCTTTTGGTGAAATACAATTCTCTATGGGTCATGCGTCTTGTTTGAGATGTGTTTTTCTTAGATAAGTCTGTTAAACAGGCAATTTTAAAAGCCTCCAAACCAAACTAACTCTACAAAAAATTGTTCGTCAGATGTAGTACTCAGTGAACGTATATACTTTGGTTAAGTACAGTGCGACGCAAGAACTCTGGGACATTTCATTTTACAGTCGCCATTATTACAAACATCTTGGGCGACTCTGTTCGATGAACCTTCGACGAGATATAAAAATTATAAAAAAACGGGAAAAAGTGTGCCGTCTGAAAAATAATCATGGCTTTTTAGGAACAAATGTTAGAAACGTGAACGATGTTTCAGTTTAAAGGAAAATGTTTCTTCAACAAACTGAAGTGTAGTAGACTTTGAACAGCCTTGCCATTCAAATGCAGTAGTCTTTAGAAAACCGTCAAAATGGGATGAAATCAAGTCATATGACAATGAATCAATCTTTTTGACCGTTTTTCTAAAGGCTACTGCATTTGAATGGCAAGGCCGTTCAAAGTCTACTGCACTTCAGTTTGTTGAAGAAACATTTTCCTTTAAACTGAAACATCGTTCACATTTCTAACATTTGTTCCTAAAAAGCCATGATTATTTTTCAGATGTTTGTAATAATGGCGACTGTAAAATGAAGTGTCTCAGAGTTCTTGCGTAGTTAGGATTATAAGAAATCGTTTTTTCGAAAACTAATTTTAAATTTCTGGGATCTTCAACTCAATGAATTGTTCTAAGACTGGCTGGAAACTGGAGAATTGGCTGGAACGTATATCGAAAACGTAAAACCTATCGTACATCACCTATAAAAAGCAGTATGTATCAGCAAAAAACCTGAAAGTCCAAAATTCTTCTGCTGATATCATTCTTAACGTCGGAAATACTATCAAATAACAAAACTAATTAGCTATACTCGTTTTTGACAAATCAGAAAAAGGAAAAATAGAGTACGATATACAAAACTAGACTGTAAAACGCTGGATCATTCGATTATCAGTATCGACTAAAAAGACTGGCTGTTAAAAGTGGATATTTTTGAGTAAAAACTTAATTCGTTTATGAAAAGTATTTTATATCTATTGTCTTTGCATTGAATGGATGTTTATTTTGTGTAGTACAATCATATATTATCTCAGTGGGATATAGAACAACCACATGTGTCTAAATATTTTTGTGTGTGCACATAAGACTAATCAGAACAGTTTTTAAACGATAAGAGTACTACATCCGCATTCTTGAGTATACAGAGAATCGTTTTTTGAGAAAATTTGTTGACTAATCAAGTTTTTCGCTTAATTATCCATTCTATATGTATAAAGTTAATAAAAAGTTTCCTCCACTTGTGAAAACGCTTTAAAAGTGTTTTCTATATCTAACTGGTCATTCTTCATAATATAAAAATGCAAAAGACATACACTCTACTATATACAACAATAAATGTATTACAGAGATTCTCAATTTACGATATATCAGTATTGTTCACATGATCGGTAGACTGTAATACACTAGTACTATCTCTTGATGGTGTTCGAGAACGTGTCTGCAGTTGAAGATTTACTAATTCTTCTTCGTCATAATGATCTTGTCCATCATTCCATCGTTTTTTACTACGTGATGGCGATTGTTCATTAAACGGAAATAACATAGCTTGTAGGTGTCTTAGTGCTGCTTTACCAGCCGGTGAACGACGAAATGTTGACAAATCAATTGTTTGACGACGTTGTAGTTTTCTTGCACATTTCCATTGAAATTTTGATTGTTGATCGCTGACATGTTTTTTCTCTTGTTTAACATCATGATTTTCGTTAGTTTGATCGGGTAGCTGCAAGAAGTGAACGGATTTTTAACTTTAGTCTTGACGATGATTAGTTTAATTATCATTATAATTACGAGCAATAAAATCCAGCACTTTAAAATAGCCTTAATCGTGTTTATTGATTAGTAGACAGAGTAATAAACATTATATGAAAGCATTATTAGATTATCAATAGTTAATTACTACCACACACACGCAAACACCCATAGATTATGCATAAAATATATATTCAGTTCTTGTCTATTAAAAGCAAGCAGTAGTACTAGAGAAGAAAAAAGAAGCATTCACAGTTCAAGCTATCTCTAGAAATTAAGTAATCAAAATAAAAAAACAGAGTTCAATTAAATTGAATAATAACATCATATGCTAGACTTGCAGACAACATGCATTTCGATGAAATATATATATCTTCTATGTACTTTACTGTTAGAGAATGGAATATTGAGACGATATCGATCTGTCTCTTTAATTATCTACTTCAATTCAATAATAAATCACGGATTATATTTAAAAGCTATACTGAATTCATAGTAAATAACTATTTTATCATAATGTAAAAAAAATGATAATAAATTCGTTACTCCTAGAATTCATATGTGAAGCGAAAAAAGCTAAAGTTAGTTGTATAATATTTAGTTAATTTCTGTATTCCGTCACCAGTTGATTTATCAACTTACTCGCATTTTGTTTTAAACTGGAAACTGCAAAGCATTCTCTTTTTTTTTTAATTGTTTTACTTATGATAGTTACAGATGCCGCTGTCGACTAAACTGATATTCATCCTAAAAATATACAATTTCTATCGTGAATTGTGCTTTTTTAAACAAAAAATGAAAAAAGAAGAATTGTACGGTTGATATTTATCATTCAAAAATAAATATCTCAAATAAGAAGATTAAAGTAAACTTGAACATGATTAGTAGAACTATCAGATACTCCGTCGTAGCTGTGGAAGCAATAAGATTTTTCAAAAAAATTTTGTATTAAAATTTGTGAGAAAAGTCTCTCAGACCACTATCCTATTGAATTTTTTCATAAATGTTTGTTAAATAGGAGTAAATGTTAGAACGTCTCTGTCCAAGGGCAAAATTGATGAACAAATAGTGATGTATGTTTTATTTGAAATTTAGATGTTACTCTATCAATGAATGATATTAAAGAATATTTTATCATAACAAGTTTAGATGGTCCACAAAATGACTATGAAGATAGTATCTACGAATATTTGAAATAAGAAAATTAGTTTTTACACATTCAATATGAGACACATATCAGACTACAATTAGATACATAGATGTTTGTTCAATAGTTGAGTATCAAATGAACTAGCGTATACTCTCTGAAAAAACGCTTTATATCTGACTTGTATTTGTATTTCTTTCATCAGTAAATAAAGTGGTTTTGTTCATGTGAAACGGATTGAATTAATTGCAATTTCATTGAGTAGTTAGATACTTAAAACGATATTGAACATTAGCGTTACTAATAAAAAGCTATGTCATCCATATAATTTGTTGCTCTATATTTTTATTCACATATCATCACTTCAACCATCATTATTATACAAAATACTACGTCTATCTTTTTCTCTCTTCTATCTTCAGATCATCGATCTATTATTTTTTAGTTGTTAGTATTTTCGCTCTTTTGAAAGATAATTTGTTTTTATAGACGTAATTAAATGTCAATCAAATTTATAGTTGTAAAATTAATTTATAGAAGAAATGTACCTTCAACATAGATACAATTTTCATTGTTATAATCAAAGTGAATTATTCCATAATATACGATCACTACAAATGTATATTACATAATTTAGCGTTATTTTCAGTTTATGGCTAAATATCTCTGGGATTATCCTATTATATTTTTTAAACTTTAATTTCAAATAGATGAACATGCACACTAAACTATTTGAAAGCAAAAAATGCCTATTTGTTAAGATAATCCATGCAAATCATACTTGAACATTACATCAATCACTTTATTCTCATAATTCAAGGATTATCTTGATTAATTAGAAAAGACAAATAAAAACTAGTTTAGCCGTCTATCAGGGGTTGCCAAGAATAAATATGAGTATACAATATAATTTTTGTGAGATCAATATATATATATATATCCCATCAGTATCAAAAAACGGCAAAATCAAGAGACACATACACAGATACACAGCAAAACGAACATTAACACTCAATGATATAGAAGCCTAAATTGAAACATTATACCTGTTCAGAATAGAAATTTTAGAATTGGTAAAATAGTAATAGTAGCAGCTGTTAAAAATTTTTTTATAAAAATAAAGTCGACGTTTCGAAAATGGTAATTTTTATTTTTAAGGCAATAAAGATGTTTAACGCGATATAAAGTTAAAACGAATATAAATCTAAAAGCAACTAGTGTTACGATTCTTTCAAGTCCAAATTGATTCGGTGCCTTTTTTTAAAACAGAGTACTTTCAATGGGGAAAGAGATACCGACCCTGCAGGTAGATACTCTTAGCTAGTCATTCACATGTGGTTTACTCAGAATCATCCTTTTTAGAGAGAAAGTTCTTAAAGAACTGAAATGTGTCAAGTGCTTCTCTGTAAATTTGTCTGTTGTTTTAACACTTCTATTTTGGAAATTATAATAGAATCGATCAAGAAACAATTGTCTCATGTTAAACAAGAGATAATTTCTAAACAGAAGAATCATTACTGATTTACGAATATCTATATTTCAGAAATGTGCAGATTGATGTGTCAGCCCAAAAGGGGGCTATTTTTCCTACAACTAATTGTACAATTAACATCCTGTCGTGCAAAATTAAAAGACGTGCATCAAAATGATAGATGAGAGAGACGAGAGATATGATACAGAAATAAAGCAGAGATATAAAGTCATTCGAATCACTTACCAAACTAATTGCATCTGCTGGTATTGATGTTTCATTATCATCCATTGGTGGTATCTTATATTGAGGTGCAAATGATGATGTTGTTGATAATGCTGCATGATTTTTCTCTGAACCTTTATCGCTCGTACCGAATTTTAGACGATTATTTACATTTTTAAATATATTTCGATGTATTTTATGAATAGATCCATGATGCGGTGGTTTTATTGAACTATTTCCTCCATCAACCGTTACCGAATGACTTTGTGTATCTTCTTGATCAAGACTTTGTCTTCTCATTGCTTCTCGTTTATTTAGATCTGACAGAGCTCTTGGTAATTTTCGTTTTGCTTTCGTTATAATATTTTGACGTGTTTTTATACATCGAACATATTCTTCACCCGTTGAATGTAGAATAGGTACACTACCAATTGATGTAAAATGTATTCCATTATCACCATAACATGCTAATAATGTAAATTCATTTTGTTCATTTATTTGCTGCAACAATGGATCGATAATAACGTGAATTATTTCTGAAAAAACAATATCATACCGTTCTTAGTAATATAAAAATATCACATCACTATTGTCTTACCTCTCCAGGCAATATGTGGTTGCCAATCGGGATTTGTTGAATTTTGATATGTTTTATACATTGATGTTTTCATATTATTCATTAATTGATCAAATACAGTAGCTAAATTTCTTACCACACAATAGGTTAATATATTATGTCGAATATCCGATGGTTTTGTTCGACATGAATCGTAGTAAATTAATGCATGATTTTTAATCAAATAATCTAATTCTATTTTAGCATTTCGTCGAACACAACAAGCAAATGCATGAACAAATATACGTTGAATTGTTGATGAATTTTCTTCAATAAACGGATCATTTTCAACTTGATAATAACGACTTAATGTTGTACATAATGCTAAAAATGTTGTATAATTATTTTTAATTTGTAATACACCATCTAAAAACAAGTATACACAAATATATATATAAAAAAAATAAAATGATTTTTGACATTTGTTTATTGACAACAAAAAAAACATACCAAAACAATGTTCCAATTGACGTTGTGCTATTGTTCCCCAACAATGTAAATGTCGTCTTGTAAAAAAATTATCAAATATAATATTCATCATTACCGTTGAATCGGTCATACATGATAGATAAAATGGTGTCTGATAAACATTGGCAATAGCATCAGCTAGAGGATCTCCAAATGAATCAAAAAAATAATAGTCTACTTGCATATATACAGATTGTCCTGCTTCACTACTCAAACGATATCTCATAATTACTTCCCATGTAACACTACTACGTTTTCGAGATGTTATAATATCACCATCGGGATACAATATCGTTGGACGACAACCCAATGCTTGTTCTAATTCTAAAAAATTTTCTTCGATATTTTCACGTAATAAATGAAAATCCCATCTTGGATATTGGATAAATATATCTCTTAGAACAAGTACAGTTAAAAAACATCGTACACTAATGGGCATTTCATTTTGAATACCATCATCTGATGCTCCTGATTCTTCACCTTTTGATGTTGTCAGTGTTATTGATGAACCAGACATACCAATAGAACCTGCTAATGGTTTAACATCCTAGAAAACAATAATAATAATAATAATAATAATAATAATATTCTTATATCTTTTATCTTTGACTCAAAATAGATCTCTTTTACCTGATTAACAATAAATCCATCAAATTGATAGAATATATAAGGAAATGGTCCCACTTGTTCTGTATCTCTAAATACTCGTACATTTTGAAATTGTGCATATTGTTCTTGTTGCATATAATCGAGTACTTTATTTAAAATACAATCATGATTAAGTCCATCAAATTCTACTAAATGTGATTCTAATAGAATTTTAACAATTTCTTCATAATCAGATTTATCACTACATGTAGCAATACAAGCAAGAATTAATGGTGATGGTATAAGTAATTGTTTATCTTGAACATGTAATATTTTTTCAATAAATTCATCTCGTTGTAATAAAGGTAATGATGATAATTCTAATTCATCAGCATCTGGAATATCACTATCATTTGTATTATTTAAATTATTATTATTATTATTTATATTATGTCCAGAATTTTGTGAATGCATTTGAAATTGTTGTTGTAATTGATTTTGTCTCATCATTATACTATTACTATCTTGTGGTGAAATTTTTTTTGATAAATTTCCTTTCTCATGTTGTGATGTATGTTTTTTATTTACCGTTTCAATACCACATGCTTTCAAAATATAATCATTTGGATTAAGTGAAAATTCTTTCATTTTAAAACTAGGAATTAATAATGATATAGTATCAACATGAACTTGAGATGTGGGTAATGTCAGTGTATTACATATTGTACGAACCTAAAAATAGAAATTACTATTAATTAAATATTTTATATAAAATTTAATTTATTTCAACGGTACTTACTGTGTCTTTATCTCCAACAAATGATGCATAATGTAATGGTAACCAACCTCGTTCTGTTGTCAAATTTATTGCTGAATCTAACCAATCAATATTATCAAACAGAATATTTAATAATGGTGACTTTTTATGAGCAATAGCAAAATGAATTAGATCACAATTTTCCATTGAATAATATTTTTGAATTATTTGTTGAAATATACTAAATAATTTAACATTTAAATTCAATATTGGATTATCATGTAGTTCCATATACAAATAACTGTGTAATGGTGTATATATTTTAAATAAACCATGTATAGGTGATGTTAAATATTGTTGATCTACATGAACATCTGCAAATAATAATCTTTTTTGTTGTTCTTCATCTTTATTTATTTCAAATATATGTTCTAAAGCAGTTAAAATTATTTCTTTACAATTTTTATATTCAATTGTCAAATGTTTCATTGTTAATAATTTCTTTTTTATTCTAAAATACCATCGCCACATTGGATATCGATCACGTTGTCTACCATCCGAATCATATAACATTAATAATAAAAAATGTAATGAATTAAAATTATCTGGTTTTCTTACACTACCACTATCTAATTCTTGTAATAATTCTATTAATGTCTCATAATGTAACTCTTCAAATGGTAATTCATTTCCACCAATTGATACCATTGTTGATGCGCGATCTAATTAAAAAAAGATAAAAATCAACTATTGACTATTTTGCAATACGTTCAGTAATGTAAATAGTAATAAATGACAAATTGATAGTTATTTAAATTTGGGATTATTAAACTAACGATAAGTGAGAATTGATTAATTTTTTTTTTTTTTCATACAAATAAGTGCTGAATGAATACACTGCATTATTGAAAAATGTTATACGTTTAAACATTGTGCTCTGATAAAATGTGCCATTTATAAAGCCTTAAACTTGAACACTATCGAAAATGATTTGTCTTAAAATGGTTTATAAGATCAATCAGCACCAAATGACACCATGAAAGGTAAATATGAATAAATTGGACAAATTGCAGCGTAACTTCTCAATTGAGATATAATCCAAATTTTACGACTGTATTGTCCATACTAGAGCGAACGACAGCTTTCAGTTAAAAGCCAATTTTTTTAACTGTATTCTGTATGAATCTATGTTCTAATACAGACGTTCTCGAATTGACTCATATAACCTGACCAAGTGTTCAGTAAAATAAATATTTAATCAACTCTGTTTTTTATCACATTTTATGTATACTCTCGCTTAGTTCTTTAAACTTTACACAACACCGTTCATACACTTTCACTAAGAGGTCTTTGACTTGAATCAATTCATCTTTTTTATATAGAAATAATCTCTTCACATTCTTCTTAATCATTGTAGATATTTTTCAGTAGATAATAAAATCAACGGACAATGAAAATTGAGTTTTCTTATTGTTGAAAAGTGAACAGCAATGAGAAAGAGAGAGAAAGAGAGAGAGAGAGAAAAAAAACGGGTAGTAAAAAACATTTGATCTAAATTAAAAATGACATTCATAAATGTACCAAAAATAAAACATACAACACTAAATATTTAACAGTTTTCTATATCTGTCAGAAAATAAAATCTCTGTGATAGATACAAGTTCAAGCTTGAAACTTTAATTCAACATAGATTCGTTAAAAAGATTGAAAAATAAAAACAAAATTCACCACTAGCCAGCCTATCAATACATCTCATAAAACATGCATATACTTGCTGACTAATCATAGAAAATTGTTTGTGCCTAGCACTACCATCTTTCGTTTGTATCTCTATAGAATAAACATGCTAATAACATTAAATTTAACAGTATCATCGTCAAACATTATAACTACGTTGTTTTTCTCACATCGACATAAAAATATCCATGTTTATAGGCTACACATAAAAAAACCTGCTTATAGGATCTCTACAATTATCTTATTTTATTTTTCTTAAAGTAATATTATATTTAATCAAGAATGATAGATATATTATTAATATGATTGTTGATAAAATTATCTTAAATAATTACGGGGTCGTAAATAATATTTATTTTTAGAAAAGAATCTTTACAAATAATGATTAATGTCATCTAAGATAGAAATGTTAATTTTGACTTCTTAGCAAACATCTATTTACAATACAAAAACAAATTTTCTACTAATTATTCTTCAAACGATAAAATTTTATTGTTTTTCCGTTAAAATTTATAGTTGATTATACAAATTGAATCACACAATAAATGATATGCATCGATATCAAGGACGTGTTTATTATAATATTTACCAGCTGAAAATTATTTGTATTAGAAAATCATCTTAAGAGAAGAGCAAAAATGCCTCAGATCAATATATCAGCTTTAGTGAATATTATATTATCTATAAGACAAGATTATGTAGCTTAGTTATTTTATCTAGACAGTCTATGGCATTTTTGTCACAAATAATTATAATTATAATAGAAGAAAGGTGGCAGTAGCTGACACATCGAATCTTAATAAGCGATTCATTATTAATATTGACTGTCGAACTTTGGCCGTTCTAACAAAAACAAAACAAAAACATAGAACAATATTTTTTCAACACTTAACAGTTTTTTTCGCCCACTATCAATAATTACACAGTGAAGTAGAAAGTAGTTTAGGTAATTAGTATTCGTTCAAGAACTACTATTAGTTATAGATATTATCGATATATTTAGATAAATTTCTTGTAGTAATTTAGATATTTATTATTTCCGTTGCAGTAAAATCATAGCATAACAGGAAAAAACATAAAAATTAGTTATTATTTGTAATAACAACAACAACAATAATAACAGAAATCAATAACAGACAAATTGATTTTCCACTCTAATGGAAACAGAATTCATGTTAATATCAATTTTATTAAAAAAAAAATGAATCAAGTTTTTCGTCGTTTCAAGAAATCGAGAAATAAATAGGCATGCACCGGTTAAAAACCGATCTTTTTATCCTCTTTTCGTAAAAAAAAACACTAAATTGTACGAAGAGTATGGCACATCAAATTTTTCTCACAACTGAGTTTTGTAGAGCAAACATTTACGTATAGGAGCAATCTTCATCTTGATCGAACACATATAAAAAAAGTATTTAATAAGCGCCCATTTATCGGTTTGGATTATGTAACCGAAACCGATAAATGGGGCTCTTCGTAGGAAGGCGATTGCAAGCACAAAAAAGATGAAAAGACGTAGCTCATTTTATAGAGAAATGTTTGCTCTACAAAATTCAGTTCTGAGAAGAATTTAATATGCCCTACTCTTCATACAATCTATTTTCGAAAAAAGCTAAAAATATCGCTTTTTAATCTGGTGCATGCCTAGAAATAAGAAATGCATTGAGTGAAATAAAGAAATCTATATTGTCCATACTTAGACATTACTCTTAACATTACTTAAGTCAATTTCATTCCGTCTTCTCTCAAGAAATAGTCTAAGCAGTTTTTCAGTAGAGAGTCTTCTGATCACGAATAAAATATCGAGTTCTCAGCACAGGTAGGAATGTTACATGTTCTCAAACTCTTCGAGACATGAATGATGATTGTTTTCTATATACGAGATGTACTTTTGACTATGCTATAGACAAAGCAAGGTGAAATATTGGAGTTTAGGTAGGTGAAAATAAAATAACTTACGTGGAGATAAATAATCTTTATTAATATCATCAACTGATGCGTGTAGTCTTGTCGATCCGGACATATTTTGTAGTAATTGTTTTTTATTGTTTGCTTGGCGTATAAATGTTTATGTCGGTACAATATATTAAAAAAGAATTACAGAAATAATTGACGATAGAAGAACAAACTGATGTTTGTTGTTGTTGCTGTTGTTATTGTTGTTTTAAATTTATTCAAAATAGAATATTTTTTTGTCCATTATTATAATTGAACATGAACGTCATCATACTAAAGTTTATTTGATACACAACAAAAAAAAAGAAAGAAATTCTAGTTGTGTCTATGACAAAACAAAATATCCTATTCTTGATGAGTTTCTACATGACATACTGTGTGAATCAAATGTTCAATGATGATGATGATGATCATACATTTGATCAGTTCATTGTATTTAGTTCATGTATAAATGAATATAGAAGAAAAGTCCATTTTGCTATGACTTTTTGTAATTCGTTAGACCCCTCGTATGAATAAGGAAGTATAGTAGTTCTATATAGACAGATATATTTGCTATTTCAACGATGGATATGTCATTTCATTTATTTTTTTTTCTTTTCTCTACTTTCTTTTAACCATGTTATGTTCATACTTCGAACGATGATCATCTCCATCTGTATCTAATAACAATACAAAATACTCAAAAAGGAAAACAAATTGTCCTAGTAGTGTATGCACATTGAATACAAATAAAAAAAACAGAAAGAAAGAACAAAAATGTGTTATATTGGAACTGATACACGTGTACTATTTAGGTGAGAAAGAAGGGAGTTTTGATAGATTTCATCTAATTATTCATGAGGGACTACTTTATTCTCGATTGCGGGCGCCTGTGTCACACTTGAGTGCCACCTTTTTTTTGTGTACTGATATTTTTTTGTCCTTACCTTGCAACTAGTAATTTTTTTCAATGAGATGCACTGTTTGACACAACGTCTATGAATATTATAATTATCATCGATTATATGAGAACGATGAGAAAAGTGTGAGATAAAAAAAAACTTAAAATCGCTCAGGAAGCGGCGTGTTTTGAGACAAGTCCTGTTTAGAGAAAATGATATATTTATTCAAATGATGAGTGTGACTATTTTATTATGAAAGTATTAGGAAAATTGCATTTAAAGACTAAAAGAGTAAAAACCAGACAATTTAATCTATAACTCATAAGATCAGTTCGATTATAAGGAATACGTCATGATTTCTGCTGAAACTGAATTTAACCATAGCTATAAAAAATCTATTTACGCAGAAAAAAAAGTAGATAACAATTATATCATATTCCACTGTCAAAACAATGAATTACTATAGGAAAAAGGTGAAACATATAACGATTTTTAGAAAACAAAAGGGTCTCTCTTAGAACAATGTTATAGCTGTAACAAGGGAAAGAAACAAAAATAGCATTTTCGGCAAAAAATAGCCTTGATCTTTAAAAAGAAAATGATTTTCCTTTTTCTACTGTTTCTCTAATACTTGTGGTGACGGATGTAAGTCAAGGAAAAGTTTCCATTAACTAGAGAGATAAAATACACTAATGTCTAATGATACATAACAATTTCTAAAAACTATTGTAATTTGAATAAATCGAGCGTTTCAAGCACTGTTTTAGACGAAAAATATTGTTTGAAAACCCTAAACAATTTATCTTACTAGATATTTATCTTTCACCATTCTAATTACGTAATTTACAACTATATTCGAAAAAACGTAAAAGTGAACCGAACATTAGAATCCATGTGAATTTATTAGTAGTAAAACTGCATATTTTCATGAGATCTTACCTTATTTTAGAAGACAAATGTTTCTAACTTATATTAAAATGTACAACGTGTTCATCACTAGATAAGGAGAAAAGAATAGCATATTTTTCTAGTGCATACTAATGATATATATACCCCAAAATGATTCTGTTTTTCTTCTTGTTTTGAGGAAGAACAATCATTCATCCGTAATAAATACGTAGTTAATATGTAGTTGATTTATAGTGAATGGTCACCTGTTTATTCGAACAATGATATAAAAATAAACAGAGAACTATAAAAGACAGTCAGTGTAATAGTGAGAGAAGAGCATCTACAGAGTCAACAAGCACATCACATATCAATTAAATTGAAGAAGAGAAGTAAAAGCGAAAAAAAAATACAGTTTATTAATTGAGATAGGTAAAGTGTATATGAAAACTCATTTCAACTTAATTAAAGATTCCGCTTAAATGAATATATGGTTAACTATTTTTGTATGGCTAGTATGTCAGTAGGCAGTTTCCAAGAGATCTCTAGATCGTTTAGTATTTAAACGAATTCAATAGGATGTTTGATTTTTTTTATCTATTATTCTATCTTTGCGAAGGGGTGGACCCTTTTATCTTACTTTTAAACCCAAACTAATGTTCTTTGTGTGACATAGTACTGTTTAAAAGGTATTTAAAAAACATTTATTCACCTTCATATTTTGCGACATATAGCAATTGATTCATTTAATCAAAAAACAGTACTGTACACTCTTTCTTTTCAATTGAATGCAAGTCCGCTATCTGTACAATAGTCATTTTTATGTGATATGATGTTTTTATACAAGATCCATTCTGAATTTTTTAAATTATTTTGAATAATTTTAAGCAAAATATCTTTTTTTATCATACAGTGTAAAATGTCACAACCGCTTAGCTTTTCCAACTCAAGTTTTATCTAGCTTCTCAAGTTGCTTCCAGCCGTCTGCAATGTTTCCAGATAACAGCATATCATTTAAAAACGACTATCGCACAGATAGTAGGCTTGCATTCAATTAAAAAGAAAGAGTGTGATGATACTATTAAGCTATCTATTAAAATCAAACATCCTATTGAATTCGTTTAAATACTAAACGATCTAGAGATCTCTTGGAAACTGCCTACTGACATACTAGCCATACAAAAATAGTTAATCATATATTCATTTAAGCGGAATCTTTAATTAAGTTGAAATGAGTTTTCATATACACTTTACCTACCTCAATTGATAAGCTGTATGTTTTTTCGCTTTTACTTCTCTTCTTCAATTTAATTGATATAAAATTGAATTATTGACATAAAAATACTTGTTCATTATTAAAACGACTCCTTTAGGATATAATTACATTTTCGTCTTAGAATAGAGAAAGGGAATTCGGTAAGGATCAAAAAGTCATGTAAATAGCAAGAGTTTTTGTATTTTATATTTAGATGATATTCCTCTAGGAACACTACTTCAGCCATTAAAACAGCTGTTTAGCGACCTTTTTAGAATTATTAAACCGCTCCAATGCAGGTCATTGTTTAGCGCTATATAAATATGAAGATTTATTCTGTCGACAGAATCATGCGTTTTTACAGGAATTTACTTTTTTTTCCGTCACATGTTTTTGCAAGATGTGAGCCGCACGATCTAAAGAACTACGCTACGTAGAAAACTTCTGGAAATGGGAGGATATTCTCAGTGTAGTGCAGATTGGCAGTTGTACGTTCTTTTTTCAAACAAGAGATCAGATTAGGCGGCGTAAGCGGCATAAGTGGCAGAAAAAATGTGTTTTGGACTTAAAAGCTTTCATATATTTACAGGAGATGATTGTCCGGCGCCATTTATTCTTAAGAGGAATATAATTCTCTCCATCATTTCTTTGTGTTCTTCAAGTCTATGTGATTGATATTAAACACGAGCCATTGTTATTTCTAACTTCTACGTACACTGATATGAGGTGGAAACTAGTTATGGAGTAATAATTAGAATGCAGTGTTTGTGGACATCGCAACTTGTGCGTAGCGCAATTGCAGTTTAGTATTTTATTTTATTTTTAACATTGCACCGTTTATTTGTGCCGAAAGGTTAACAAATATATCTCCTACCGCAAAAATTGAAAAAAGTAAGAAAAAAGAACAAGAACTCCATAATACACAAAAAAAACAAATTATAAGGAAAACACAAGTAGCACAATAATTAATTTTAAATTTAAACTAAGACACAAAGAATTATATAATTATTATTTACAGACACTCACGTGCACAGATACACATTTATAGTTTTCAGATTGTTCCTCACGGAAGTACCTTCCAGAAAAGTTTTGCTGACTACAGAGTTATTTACAGTTGTAATTCAAAATATTTTCTATAAACATTTTTATTAGGGACATGTCTTTTTTGTAAAATGCAAACTGACCGATCTGGACCCAGCTTTGAACTGCAGCAAATCAGTTTTACTGTGCTGTACATGTTTTGAAAGTCTAGTCGGAAAGAAACTATTTTTTCTGAACCCTATCGATCTATACCACGCCGTCCAGGAGGCCTAGCGGCCAGATAAGTGGCGAAACTTCGCTACTAGGATTTTCCTTCGTTTAATTCATCTAAATGTTTGTTGAATTTTAACTAGTACTTCAAAAGGTAATCGCGTAATGTAAGTTCTCTACTGAGGATTAGTGTTGTTTCATCGTCCCATTCCCACAGGGAATATGCAATGCAGAAACCCGAACAAAAAACATGCTCTATTTTTTCTTTTTGAATTTTAGTGAAATAAACCACTACTAAAAAAGCCACCACTTTACAGACGAATTTTTATTTTGAAAAGAAATATTTTTCGAACAGAAGATGAGTCACGGTCAAGAAAAAAATGAGAAAAATTCGTTCAGATGAAAAAAAGATCAAAACATATGGCCACATAACTTACAGAAAAGAACTTTCATCCATATTTACCAGCGTTTCCAGGTCTACAACAAGCAGTGAATGAAAGATAAACAAAAAATAGTCGCTGTTCCTGCAGACTATTACTAGAAACATTTTAAGGAAGCAGAAACGAACATAAATAACCAAAATCAGCAAAGATGCTTGTACATTTATGCAGGGATGGAAAATGTGCCCGCTATTCCTCTTGAAGCGATCGAAATGGAAGAAGTACTGTGGAAAAGTTGATGCCCAAAAAATCGACAAACAGTCCAAAAATGTCTGCTTTTCTTCTAAACAGCTACTAGCTGTATACATGGGGACACTAACAACTCTGTTCAACGAATGTGCAAGAAAAGGAAATTTTTTCGAAAGTAGCAACTACACCAAAGTGATCTGCTTATCAAAAGACGACCCGTATCCGGAGAAGAACCGATAGCGTCCAATTTCTCTTTTGCCTAATCGGGATAAATGGCTCGAAAAAATTATTCACCAACAAATTTTAAAATAGTAGAGGAAAAAACATTTATGTTGACAACTAATCGGGTCTCACTCCGGAAAGGCGACTACAAACACGAATTTTGTCGTTATGTGACGAATTTAGGCAGAATATTGCCGCCTGTCATCATTCTGCATTGGTGGTATTTGTTGATTTTCTGTCTGCATTCGACTGCATGTTGTTTCTCGCGCTTATTGCCAATATGCAGGAGCTCGAAATGACATTTGATCTATTGAAATGGATCTACTCCTGGCTGTAGAGAAGAACTTTTTCAATACATCATGGAGAAGCCATATCGAGAATAATAGAAATGTTTATAGATGTACCCCAAGGCTGAACTTTTCAACTGCATGTTCACTTTCTCCCAAAATATTTCATGCACCTCATTGGTCATCTGTTCTGTTGATGATTCGACTCTAGTGTGGCCTGGATCATTGAAAAAGAAAATAACTATCTGAAAATTTGATTGAGTTAGAAATACAGGCGAAAATTGCCATGAAATGGTTCGAAAAATTTTCGGATGATAATCTTCTTTCGATAAGTATCCCCAAAACAAACGCACTTAAGATAAATAAAGCTTAAATCAGCAAAAGCAATAGTTATTTATAGTACAATTGTACCGAGAAAAGGTCAGATTTTGTACAAAAGGGCAAAACATTTCGTATCTGAATTCAAACAAGTTTCTGAATGTGACGATTTCCACAGGATAGGATGGGAAAAAGTACATCAATGAACGTTTGAAGAAAGTGATAAAAACATACAACGCATTTAGAAAAAAATATGAAGATTTCATTCAGTCGACAGCATGGTTGTGATGGAGAAAAAGAAAGACAAAATTATACGTTTTAAAATAACAGACAAAGTTTTCGGTCAAAGGACATCGAGAGAAGCCTATTGTACGCACCGTATGGTTTTGTTGAAGAAAAGTGGCGAAACAAACTGAATATTTTTGTAATTAATTCGAAATTTTTTAAACTTTCACTACAATTTGTATACGGATGTATAATAAAATTAGTTTTATTAAACAATTAGATATGTTAATTTTTAGATTTAATAAGTGATTCTACATTGTTTAATATCTAAGAAAAATTAAAAAAATAATATAAAAATAATACTTACTTTTAGGATTCGAACTTTCCAACTACTTCGCGTTCATTTGATGTTCATAGAGAGAATTTTCTTTCTCTTTCTTGAAAACTTCTTTTTTATATGTCTCTCTACTTAGAATATGGAGTTTCTGGAAAAATACGCCATTTCATTTCTTACTTTCACTGTGATATTCTATATGACATACATGTTAACAGTTCAACTGATCAACTGATTGTTTAAATATGTAACATGAATGAGACAAAGCTTTTTTTTTATAGAAAAGACAATTGAAGAGCAACGCAAACACTTGATTTTGATGAAACATTTATAATAAATTGTTTAGTATTTTGATTAACACTGTTAACGTCAAGGTCAACTAGTATTGCGAACCACGTTGATAATAAACGATTTTATTCTATATCAAACATATTTCTTCTTGCTTTAGCAAAAATAAAATCTAATATCAATATATTGTAGAATTTTAAGTATCTTTTTTTTCCTAGGGCATCGAAATTAAAATAAAAGAAGACTTTTATTTTACACTATAGATCTTTTTCTCTAGATAGACGTTGAGGATACAGTTGAAGTCAATTAATTTCAGAAAGATAAAATTAGATAATCTTTCTAAATTATGCATATACACACAAAGGAAAAAGAAAATGAACACATAGCTAAATTACAGAAGAAAACTTATTATTGTGAAAGAATAACATAAATCATCGATTCTATTACATTTATAATTATAGTCAATTGTGACAATAAAAGTGTAGAATGAAAGTATTAGAATGGAAGTTAATGTCGACTGTGCAGATGATTTGTCAGCATTTGAAATGGTACTCTTAGTTATTCCATTTTACGATATAGTGTCATGTGAAAAAGTGAAAATAGACTTAACATTATGTACAAGGCGTCACAATCTACATGTGCGTCAAATAATCTACTATTGCAATAATTAAATGTATATATTTTGTCATCCTATATCATCATTATTCTTCAATTAATTCCAATTTCCAATTGGTACGTTTTTGTTGATTCATTATACTTGGTAATAATTGTTGTCGTTTTTTATGTTTATTCATTCGTTCATATGCATCTCGATAAACATCTTTTGAATAACGCTTCCATATTTCATTTGAATGATAACATTTATAAAAATCATCTTCATTAGGAAATGGTATTTCTTGTCGACGAATTGTGTCTTTATATGTGTCAGAAACAATTCGAATAAATGCTGATTTTAATAATAGCATACATTCACAATCATTTGATATAATGGTTAATGCTGGTTGATCAGAAAATAACATGTCAGATAAACCCTAATTAATAATAGAGATACAAATAAACATTAGTTAGCCATTTTTTCTATAGAGATAGGTTAGCACAAGTACAGACTACGAGTCAAAGTCACTTGATGATTTCAAAAATTATTTAACAAAATTCTTAAACTTGTCATACGAGCGACTTTTAGTAACTTGTTCTGTCCTGCTGAAAAACGTTCGAAAACTATGATAGAGTTTTTTTTGTCCAACTTCTACTCAATTTTTTTTATGAAAGAAAATGCAAAACTCAAAACTTCACGTATTTCTATTTCTTAACAATAGTATATCATCAACAACATCTGGAATTAACTATTTTACTATTCCTTCGTGATTCTACTCAATATCCTTTTTCAACACCCGTACCTATTGATTTTTTATAGACATCGTTCGGCCTCTTTCTATCGTAGACTAAAAATAGGTTATGAGTCTTGTGACCTCATAACCTATAACCTGTTACTCTCATTTTTTATGTAATTGAGTTGACAGTATTACGATGAATATCCAAGACAATACTTACAAAATGTTGTCCTTCACTAAGTGTTTTCACGTGCAAATAAAGCATTTTTTTTGGTAAACTAATCTTTGATTTTGATGTCTAAAACAACACAAAAACATATTTAGTTTCAAGACAGAGTGCTGTTGAAAATCGGATTCGCCTGTATCGATAGTCTAGACAGTGTAGATGCAGTCTCAGATCCACACATTTTTAAATTTTCGATTGCAGACTCTCAGATACGGAAAATGGAATTGTTTTTTCAAGAAAACCCTCTCAGAAATAAAAAGAACAGGCGAAATTAAACTGTTCTCATCGGATCTGAATTCATTGTACATACTGATACTGATGAACGTGCTTTGTCTGAAGCTACCGTTGTACTATGTGCAGTTGGTATACGATCAGTCTGATTGATGAAATTTAAATTAGTATCAATTGTTAATAAATCATAATCGATTAACTTCAACCGATCACGCTTATCAATAAGACCGGGAAAACGCTAGAAAAATAAAAACAACCGAAAACAATGTAAATATCTTCCAATACTGTTCTTTTTCAGGTACCTTTTCTCCTTTCAATATTTTTCCTTCACCTTCTCGTGTTGTCGATAATGATGACGAAGTTCGATGTTCATTTATAATGTCGGCCATTGACGCTCGTCTTGCTTTACTTAAACGAAAATCTGTTTCCAAGGCGTTTCCATCATTTCCTTTTGTTGTTACTTCATTCACATCACCACTCAAATTTATCTCGGTGAACATGCTGCGATTTTCACTGTCCGGTTGTTGTGGATCTACGACATACTACCTAAATGATGACCAGAAACTTGATGCTAAAACGATCTACATACCTTCTATATTCTCTTCCTCTTCTTCATGTTGTGAATGTCTTGTACGATCTAAACGTTTCCATATTGACAATGTTCCTTTTTTAACAATGAAAATGTGTTTTGTTCGTCTACTATCCCGCGATATCACCTCACCACGCCTAAAAGTTTTCATATCAAATCAAAAGACTTGTGATATCTATTGCTACGTAGTTAGTACACATACTTGTAATTACAATGTTGTATGGCATGTGGAAATTCACTTAGTTTATCTATGGGAAAGCCACGAAGAAATGGCACACTGGTTCTAAGCAAACAGGAACATTTTAAGATACTCTTTAGTCATCACAATGTTGTTCAAAAATTTATCTAAAGTATCTTACTTCAAAAATTTAAGGTTTTCTTTACTGCAGTGTCGATCTGATGACATAAACACTTTTTTAAAATCCTGAATGATAATAATAAAAATGTGTTTTACTATCGTTATAATTGTTAGAGAGTCAGGAAAAGTGAGAGAGAGTGCATTTTAATGATGTTTTCTTTTCCTTTTCAAATATATCAATTTAGTTGATAATGACTACGAGAGGATTAGATACCAGGCTCATGTACGTGACTGATTTTTTTAAAACAAAATTAATTGGTTTATAAAAACTTATTATTGTAGACCGTAATAATTATTAGTCGTACCTCTTTCCATAATACAAGCAATTCAATTTTCGTTTTTGATGTAACTGTAAACGTTTGTAGCGAATCTGTCATTAATGCTTTTTCCTAAAACAAATGAGTCATATTAACGACGTAAGATTACAGATAACTACTTTCGGTCGACAATTGCTCATCGAAATCAATAAACACAAAAGAACATATTAAACTTCTCAGTTAAAAATATTATTGAAATCTTGAAGAAAATTTAATGTCATCATGAGTTAAAGGTACAGTCAAAGCTAATAGGGACAAAAGTGATAATGTAACATACTCCGTCGTCTAGATCTTGGGACACAAGCAGATTTGAAATAAAATCTTAAATAACTCAGAAATAGACAAAGAAGTTCATTTCTATTTACGTATTTAAGACTGCCCCAAGCACGCTTTCAACCTTGAAAAAATCTTCCATTTCCCTCAGCTAGGCTAAACATTTTTTTGTATTCTGTTCGTTTTTCATAATGAGTTCGACCTTATCTCACAGAAATAGTTCTATACTGGTTAAACATTTACTCAAGACTCTAAAAATGTAAAATCTTGCAATCATTACATCCCACCGTTCTTCAGAGATGATTATTTTTTCATACTGGAGCGAAAACACACCGGTCAATTTACGCAGATGCTAATAGTGATTTTTTATGATCTGTAGAGAGCCAGTGTTAACAGTCAGAAAACAACGAATCACAAACTTGTCGGAACAAAAATTCTCTGAATAAGGATGTGTTTTAACATACTCCAAATGTCGATCCTTTTTCCATGGTGTCTAACGTTTCAACATTTCCGTCTGTAGCTCGTTTGTAAGTGGGAAGTGCTACACCGGATAAAATCATATAAAAACAAGCAGCACGTTCTCCTTGTCGAACAATTGTTCGTCGTTGTTCATAGCTGAAACAAAACGAAACATCTAGATACTTTGATAAAATTAATTTTTTTCTACTTACCATTCGTACCATGCGTTGTGTAACAATATATCTTGATGCTGTTGCGGCAAACGAGTAAACGCTTTGATATCTGAGAGACATGCTCGAATCTATATATCCAAAAAGCGATGTGTATTTATAGGTTTTTGTTGTCAAAGCAGTTGTATTTTATTGCCTGCGCACATCTACTGCTTCACCATTTTATCCAACAATAACAGAAAATAAAATGTCCCAAAAATACTCTGTAGGTAATATTGTTGTAATCTCTACGTACATTTTTACAATCTGTTACGTACAAGTACAACATCAACTGACATTGTCAAGGAAACCAGAAGGTCAAACTGCTATTTTTAATAACCGACATTGTTAAAATTTGAATATATACAGAGGAGAGTCAACAGAAGGTTATCGTCCTATATTATTATGTAGATAATCAGAAACACATCATTTACATGATACTACTTATTTTCAATGGTTACGTGTACAAAATAATGGATACTAAAGGTTTGCAGTTAAAAAGAATGATGAGTTTTCACTAAAGCATTCAAATACATATTCGTCAACTGTAAGATAACAATAACGAACATTTCGCATACCATCATTATAATGATAGTATGCGAAATGTTCAAGACTCACTGATAGGTTAAAACCTGCTGTTCAAGAGTTAAAATATAAGAAAGTTGATCCGGTTATAACTCGAATTAGAGAAAATAACTCAGGTTGATAGTTATAACTATTTCAACTTCAATTATAACTACCAACTCGAGTTAAAATTTCGTAAGTTTATTCCAGTTTGTATTATACTGTTGTTGTTCAATTAGTTATAAATAGTTTGAACTCCAACAAGTTATAACTTAGGCAGTTTTAAACCCATCAGTGCCTTTTTGGTGAAATATCTGAATTCAAATTTGATTCATTGGGGCTAACATACATTTTGAATTGAAATATTTCCTTCAGTTCAGTTTAGTTTTTGCACAGAACAAATAGTCAAAATATGATATTACAAGAAGACTAATATGTAAATGTCTCATGAAACTAGACGAATCACGTCAAAAAAGTTTTAAACATTCCACACTACAAAAAATTCTTTTACGATGCTGATATATTTATTTGGTGAATGGTTATACCATGAGTTATTCACTGTGAATAATGAATGGCTTTCTGTCGGATACAATAAGAATGGAAAAAGTTACGAGAAATACTATCAATACAAGTTATAACTATCAACCCGATTGGGTGCATAAGGTAAGGCATTCCGATGTCTTTAAAGCATTGAGGATGCCTTATAAAAGGGGTTATCACTAAAACCATGCAAGAAAGAGATGAATCTGAGATAGCTGAGATAAACAAAGAATATTAGTTTCTCTTCCTGGATATACACAGGTTAGAAAAACACGAGTCAGTTGTTTGTTAGTTATGGGACTTTTAACTTCCAGATATATCTCAGTATATGTATGCGGACAGCGAATGGAAAAACTATCGTTTTTCGGTTCTATATAAATTTGAATAATTTATTTATTTGATTTGAACGAATTTAATATAACTAAACAAACAACAAAGGTTCATCATTTTTTTTTATTTTGGTAGTATGGAACGATTTTTCGCAGGCTATCTCAAAGTTAATAGGGTAAACGTCGTCTAGTGTTACGGTGTGGACTGAGACATTCTTCATTCATGTTTGAGTCCTCCTTTTTTGGATACCTAAAACTCATAAGTCTTCAGCACAGGAAAATCCATTTTTTTGCCGAAACCTGGCGAGGTGGAGCATCGTAGGGCTAAAATCTAGTGAGGCTCAAGTCTATCAAGCCTCGTGGCTGTGTCGTCTATGACTGATAAATATGTACTCTAAGTACAAAACTAAGGCGTGAATCAGTTGAAAGAAAAGATGAATGACTCTATTAGTCTGAAGCGATCTCGGACCTTTTAAGTTTTGCGTCCTCTGTATACCACTCACCTAGCCGCAAACACATCGATCATCTTGCTACTCACGAAACTATTGTCTGGAAAATAATTAAAACTGAACGTAATTGGAATGAAGACAAAATGTTCCTGATTTTTTGAAGAAGCTTTATTTCAAACCTTTATTAAAAAGGAAAAACCTGAGCACAAAGGGTTAAAAGAAACCCACTTTAGCACTATACACAGAAACACACACGTGTAAAAATAAGAACCTAAAACATAACAAGAAAGAAAAAATCAGGAAAAAAGAAAGAAAAAGAATTCCTCATCTTATCCTCAAAGAGATGTTACACTTGCACTGTTGGTTACAATGGTTTTATTGAACCTAATGATGCTCACAGTAGAACTGCAACTCAATTTACTCTCATCACATGTAGCAACCACTTGATCGAACTTACTATTGATACGTGACAGATGGGAATCCAGGCTGCTTAAGGCGATTAGTCGTTTTTTTTTAAATTTTAAAACAGAATGATATATCTGTATCATATCTTCATATTTCATAGAATCATATAGCATAAGTAATGACATTGTTATAGTTGCCGTAGGCATTATGTCAACAATCTTAGAGAATAGCAGTTTTCGTTGGTTTTTGTATAAAGGACAATGAAGGAAAAAGTGTTCAAGTGTCTCATTTGCATCACATACACAGTACGGGTCAGCGGTGAGATTACTAATGTACAGATCATGTCTTAGCTGAGTTCGATCAAATCAACATCGACAAAAATGAATTTCATCTAAGCGATTATTTGCAATGGGAAGCCTTTTCTCTTGACCGTTGTTTTAATTTTCTTTTTAAAAGAGTCCAACTGCGTTATACTTCGTGTAAGTTACTAAACGGTAATTCTTGCCAATCAATACGAGCTTCGTAAAAAAAAGATTCTCTAAACATTTTTATTCTGGGAGATAGCTGCCAGTGCTGATCATTTTGCTGACTACGAGTATTATAGTTATGAGTAGGAACTGAATTGTTCGCTGAAGAGGATATTAAGTCAAACAAATAATTAGGTGACTTAGTCACTAATATTGTATGATATGTAACAATTCTACTTCGATGAAAACATTCCTAGACATTCATAGACTCTCAGCCGATGTCCTTCAAGACCTTCTGATTACTACTACCTTACATAGCTCCTGTTACTGCTAACGCCGCATGATACTGCAGCTTTTGAATACACTCAATATTGGAATCGGATGTGTTACCATATATGATACTACCGTAATTAAAACAGGACATGATGAAGGACTTATAAACCACGTCAAGTGCCTGACGACGTAGAATTCTAATGTAAAGTTTTAATAACCCAATTAGTTTATTCACTTTTTGCACCAGATAGTCAACATGTTTAGTCCAGTTCAATTTAGGTGTTAGTATTAACCCTAGATGTTTATGCGGCTGAACATAACTGAGCACTGTTGCTCCAATTTGAAGTGTAGGTAGCATTTGCGGAGGTTTTATTAATGTGAATAACATTGATACGCATTTATCTGCATTCAAGGGTAGTTTCCAGT